TATATATATACATACATTAAATTAATTTTTTCAATTGCTATTTCTAAAATACCGTTATATTATTTTTATTCTTTCTCCTATCTCCTACTTATTAATTCCTTCCCACATAAATACAAGTATAAACTTGAATATGAAAATAACAATCATAAAATTTAAAATAAAAGGTAAACTAATCTTTCAACATAAATATATTAACTCATCATACCGCATTCGTGGTAATACCCACGTATTAAAATAATTAAAAATATTATCAAATTAATATACAACCACGATCATCATAATCCAATTAAATTAATAAATATTCCCATTTAAATACATAAAATAAATAATCATATCATACTCAGCTATAAAAATCAAAGCAAAAGCCCCTCTAAAATATTCCACATTAAACGCTAGAACTAACTCTGACTCACTCTCAACAAAATCAAACGGCCTACGATTCAATCCTGCTAACACTATTACAAAAAATATCAAAAATAATGGGCTTAACCTATACCATATATATATATACTTGCCATTTCATAAAATCCAAAGAAGAATATCTTTCCCTTAAAATTATCACCACCAAAAAAATTATAATTACACTAATCTCATTTGATGAAGTTTGTGAAATAGCTCGCACAACCCCAATTAAAGAATATATAGAATTAGAAAATCAGTTTATAAACATAAATATATAACCTATAATTGTAAAAATAATAATTAAAATTAATAACGAATAATTTAAATAATAAATATTAGTAATATATCCTTTCGGCCCAGATATGACCTCTAAACGGTTAATCCATCCATTCTAAACGGAAATTTAGGCCACTTTCTGCTCAGATATGTCCTATAAACAGTAAATCCATCCATTTTCGTCTCAGACATGACTCTAAACGCTAAATCCGGCCACTTTCGACCCAGATATGGCCTCTAAATGAAAATTTAAGCCACTTTCTGCACAGAATTGTTTTATAAACAGTAAATCCATCCATTTTCGTTCCAGATATGACTGCTTAATTCGGCCACTTTCGGCCCCGATATGGCCTCTAAACAGTAAATCCTGCCACTTTCGGTCCATATATGACCGCTAATCGATAAATCCCGCCATATCGGCCGAGATATGACCTGTAAAAGTAAACCCGGCCACTGTCGGTCCATATATTGCATCTAAGCGATAAATCTCGTAAGTTTTTGTCACGAAATGGACAATAAACGGTAAATTTCCACTTTCGGACCAGATGTGGCCTTTAAACGGTAAACCCGGCCACTTCCGATCCGTAGAGGCATGAATGGTAAATCCGGTAACTTTCGGCCCATATATGGCTTCTAAACGGTAAACCCAGCAACTTTCGGTACAGAAACGGCCTCTAAACAGTAAATTCGGCCACTATTAGCCCAGATATGTTCTTTTAACGGTAAATCTGATAACATTCTGCCGAGATAAGTCCTATAAACAGTAAATTCAGTCACTTTCTGAATATATGGTCTTTAAATGGTAATCTCAGCCACTTTCGGCCCAGAAACGACATCTAGAAGGTAAATCCGGCCACCTTCGGCCTAGATATGGCCTCTAAACGGAAATTTAAGCTACTTTCTGCCTAAATATGCCTCTAAACGGTAAACCCGGTCACCTAGATATGACACCTAAACGAAAAATCCGGCCACTTTCGGCCCATATATGGCCTCTAAACGGTAAATCCAGCCACATATAGCACAGATATGGCCTCTAAACGGTAAATACGTCTACTTCAGCATATGTGGCCTCTAAACAGTAAATTCGGTCACTTTCGGACCAGATATGTCTTTTAAACGGTAAATCCGGCCACTTTCTGCCCATATATGGCAGCTAAACGGTAAATCTCACTATATTCGACAAAGATCAGCCACATATAGCACAGATATGGTCTCTAAACGGTTAATCTCGTCACTATCGACCCATATACATCCTCTAAATAGTAAATCACATAATTTCGACCGAAATGTGGCCGCTAAACTGGACAGAAAGTGGCCATATCACGCCAAAAGTGACCGTATTAACCATTTAGAATATCGGGTTCGAAAAAGAACGTATTTATCGTTTAGAGAACATATCTGATCCGAAAGTGACCGGATTTACCGTTTAGAAGCCATATCTGGGTGGAAAGTAGATGTATTTATCATTTAATTGACATGGGCTGAAAGAGTCCGGGTTTTCTGTTTAGAGGTCATATCTGGTTCGAAAATGGATGGATTTACCGTTTAAAGGCTGTATATATGCCGAAAATGGCCTGATTAACCGTTTAGATGACATTTCTGGGATTAAGTGGCAGGATTTACCATTCAGAGGCCGTATCTGGGCCGAAAGTTCTCGGATTTATTATTCAGAGGCAATATCTCACCGAAAGTGGACGTATTTATCGTTAAGAAGCCATATCTTGGCCGAAAGTGGCTGGAATAACCTTTAGAGGCCATATCTGGGTCCAATGTGGCCGGATTAACCGTTTAGAGGTTATATCTGGAATAAGTGGCCGGATTTATCGTTTAGAGGCAATAACTGGGACTAAAGTGGCTGGATTTACCGTTTAAAGTACATATCTGGCTCCAAAATGACCGGGTTTACCGTTTAGAGGCCATGTCTGAGCCGAAAGTGGATGTATTAACCTTTTAAAGGCCATACCTGGCATGAAAGTGGATGAATTTACTGTTTAGTAGATATATCTGTGCTGAAAGTGGCCGGGTTTACCGTTTCGCGGTCATATATTGATCGAAAGTGGCCTTATTTACTGTTTAGATGACATATCTGGGCCGAAAGTGAACAGACTTACAGTTTAGAGCCCATACCTGGACCGAAATTGGCCGGGTTTACAATTTAGAGGTAACATCTGGGCCGAATGTAAACGAATTTACCGTTTAATAGTCATATCTGGGCTGAAAATTGCCGGATTTTCCGTTTAGAGGACGTATCTGGTCCGAAAGTGACCGGTTTTTTTAGGTGCCATATCTGTCCCGAAAGTGGCCGGATTTACTGTTTAAATGCTATATCTGTGCCATAAGTGGCCGGATTTTCCATTTAGAGGCCATAACTTGGTCGAAAGAATGCGGATTTACCGTTTAGAGGCTATATCTGGGCCGAAAGTGGACGGATTAACTGTTTATAGGCCATATCTGGGCCGAAAGAACTCGAATTTACCGTTCAGAGGCCTCATCTGGACCAATTGTGACGGGATTTTGACGTTTAGTTGCCATATCTGGGCCGAAAGTGAACGAATTTACTGTTTAGATGACGTATCTTGGCCGAAAGTAGCCAGATTTTCCGTTTATAGACGATATCTGAGCCGTAAGTGGCCGGATTTACCGTTCAGATGCCATATCTGTGCCAAAAGTGGCTGGGATTATCATTTAGAGATTTGTGTCGAAAGTTGCTGGATTTACAGTAGACGCCATAACAGGCGGAAAGTTGCAGGATTTTACAATTAGCGGCCAATCTGGGCCGAAAATGACCGGTTTTTTCATTCAGAGACCATATCTCGCCGAAAGTGAACGTATTTACCGTTTAGAGGCCATATCTGGCCGAAAGTGGCCGGGTTTACCAATTAGAAGATATATTTGGGCTGGAATATATATAAACTGGTCGGATTTACCGATTGAAGGACATATCTGGGCCGAAAGTTTTAGCGGATTTACACATTAAAGTCCTTATCAGATCCGAAAATGGCAGGATTTACTGTTTAGAGGCCACATCTGGGTTAAAAGTGGCCGTATTTATAGAATAGAGGCCATATCTGGACTAGAATTACTCGGATTTACGGTTTAGAGGCAATTTCTGGCCGAAAGTGAACTTTTTGAAAGAGGACTTAGCGTTTAGATGCTATACATGGGCCAATAGTGGCCGAATTTACTCTTTAGAAGACATATTTGGTCCGAAAGTGACCGGATTTACCATTTAGATCACATATTTGGGCCGAAAGTGGCCGGATTTACCGTTTAGAGGCCATATCTAGGCAGAAAGTGGTCGAATTTAACGTTTAGAGGCCATATTACGCCGAAAGTAGCCGAATTTACGCGTTTAGATGCCATAAATGGGCCGAAAATGGACGTATTTAACATTCAGAGCAATATCTGGCCGAAAATGGTCGGATTTACCATTTAGAGGCCATATATTGACCAAAAGTGATCGGATTAACCGTTTATAAGCCACATCTGGCCGAATTTACTGTTTAGATGTCAAGTCTGGGCTGAATATGGCGGGGTATACTGTTTAACTGCAATATATGGGCCGAAAATGGATGAATTTACCGTTTAGATGACATATTTGGGCCGAAAGAGAACGGATTTACCATTTGAAAGCCACATCTTGATTTAGAAGACATATGTGTGCCGAAAGTGGTGGATTTATCGTTTAGATGGCACATATTGGCCAAAAGTGGACGGGTTTACTGTTTAGGTCCCATATCTGGGCCGAAAATGAACGGACTTGCAGTTTAGAGACCATATCTGTGCTGAAAGTGGCGGAGTTTATCGTTTAGAGGCAATATATAGGTCGAAAGTGGATTTATCGTTTAGAGGATATCTTGGTCGTAAGTCAACGGATTTACGTTTGGAGGCCATATCTTGTCCGAAAATGGACGGATTTACTGTTTAGTAGCCATATATGAGCCGAAAGTGGCCGAATATATCGTTTAGAGGACGTATCTGGTACTAAAATATGTAGATTTAGAGTACATATCTGGGCAGAAAGTGGCCTAAATTTCCGTTTAGAGGACATATTTGTGCCGTAAGTGGGCGCATTTAGCGTTCAGAGGCCATATATGAGTCAATGATGTCCGGACAAACCCCCGAGATGCCACCCGCGGCCCCCAGGCCATCGGGAGTAATCAAATGTACTCTCGAAAGTCCACCCCCGATGACCAGACTTCTGGTGGTGGCCGGACTTTCCCATAGGCCCCCGGGGCTTCCCGGAATTATCCCCGAGAGGACTTCTCCTCCGCTCAGTCCCATGGGTGTGACCGGACTTACAAACGAGAGGCAACCTCCGATCCCCATGCCAATGAGGGTTGTGGAATATACACCCATGCCATTAGGGATGACAAAAAATACCCAAAAAACCAATCCCATCCCCCATCGGGGGATCGGGGGCCATCGGGGGTGGCCGGACTTACTCCTGAGTATCCCCTAAGGCTCCAAGAGCCGATATTACTCCCAACTCCTTGGATAGCAGGACTTACCCCCGAGAGGATACCACTGCCCGCCCAGGATCCCGGAGGTCTTCGGACTTAACCCCGAGTAGCCATTCGATTCCCAGGCCTCCGGGGATGGCCAGACTTACATCCGAGGAACCACTCTCGACCCCCAGTCCGCCTGAGATGGCCGGAATTAACCCCGAGAGACCATCCTCGCCCCCCAGACCCGTAGAGGTGGACAGTATAATCACTAGACCCCTAGGGATAGTCGGATTTACTCCCAGGTCCCCGAGAGGACACTCCCGCCCCTAGGCCTCCGGACTTATCCCCTAGAGGCCTTTCCTGTCTAAAATTCGGCTAATTCCAATCCAAATCTGGACATTAAACTGAAAATGGATCATTTCCAATAAAAAAATCGGCCAATTACAATCCAAATTTGGAGATTAAATTAAAAATGGGCCATTCTCGGTTTAAAAATCGGCCAATTACTGTTCAAAAATCGGCCAATTCCGGTCGAAAAATCGGCTAATTTTGATCCAAATTTGGACGTTAAACTGAAAAATTGACCATTTCCGATAAAAAAATCTGTCAATTTCGGTACAAAAATCGGCCAAATCCGATCGAAATTTGGAGGTTAAACTGATAAATTGACCATATTTTCGGTAAAAAAATCGTCCAATTCCGGTCAAAAAATTAAATTTTTTTTTATAAATCTAGTATATATATATATAAATATATATATGTAT